ATCGCTGTTGTATCTGTGTGTGTTCTATGTGCAATATTTCTGCCAGAGATTGGCACTATAATCAGGTAAGACCATGACATAACATGATATATTTTATGGCAATCATGTCTGAAATATATCGGTAGATGACCCCCCCCCCCCATTCACACATATAACATGTACTTGTATTGCTATATATTAAGGACTCTATTTTGTTTTAATTAAATTGGAGTTCGTTTGAATTGCGTTCAAATAAAATGTAGCAAAGTAGAATTATTATACAAATTGTAACTTTATATAGAAATTGTTTTGAAGCTTATTGTTTGTAGAGTGGGTACCATACATTACCCATTTACTATTCCTAAGTTTCACATACATTTCTATGTTACAATTTGTGTGATGTTGTTTCAACTTTACAGTTGTGTGTCCTTAGAAGTTGGTAGATTAACACAACATACCGGGTATAGTAAGTACACACTGATCTGACCCCTCCCCAAAACACATACATTTTTATGGATAACTGATGAAAAGGAACATTGTGTACAACTAAATATATTTGAGCATAATTAGTAAAAATTGTTTGTATAAAACAGAGCCAAGTATTCAATGAAAATGTAATTACCCATTTCATTGAATATATTATCTAATGTGCTTCTACCAAGATTCAATATTAAATGCAACTCATTTTAATATAAATGTCTGTTGTATTTTACAGATTTTCCGGTGCCTTTTCAGGGCTTGCATATATTTTCACATTGCCATGTTTGGTTTATCTTGCATATCTCTGGAAAGAAGGCCGCCTCACCTACACTGTCGTCTTATTTCATTCATTCATTATTGCTCTCGGTGTTGCTAATTTTGTAGGACAATTTGCAATATTTGCAATACACTGAATTTAAAGTACTTAATTTATATTTTGAAATTGTTTAAAATTGTTTTAGGTTGTAATTTTAACTGAGTATTATTAAATTATGTATTTTATAAATAAAACGTTAAAAATGACGCAATTGTAGTTTTTATTATTGCTGTTAACTCTGCATCTGATATGTGTGGGTTTTTCATCCAATTTAAAAAGTTGAAAGTGTACTAAATCATGAGGCAAAATTTTTACATTTTGAATGAATCATATATTATAATTCCACAGACAGGGAGATCAGCCCTTTTACTACTGCCATTGCAATTTAAAATTAAAAGAATAATAAATCATAAGGCTGAATTTACATTTTAAATGAATCATATTTTAAAATTGAAAAAAAGATCAACCCACATACTATTTTGAGTTGAAATTGCATATGGGAATGCAACTTCAGCCATCCACAATCTCAACATTTGTTGGTCTATATATAGGTTAGTGATTAATGTAAACTCATGTATGGCAGAGTCATCTTGTATTCAGTTACTAACATCCAAACAGAATGTGACAAAACATACTCTATGCTGGTACTCTGAATCCATAGTAATTCAAGACACTAACCATATCACTAATGAAACATTTGTGTTGTAGAATTCTCTAAAGACCCAGTTAGTTCAGGCTGACATCCATGAATAAACTTAACTCCAATACTTCTAAGCTTTTATGAGCTTCCGTATTGGCATACCAGAATGTTTACTTTTTTTACTAATTTCACAAGATCTACTCAACTCACTCATTTTGCTATGTGGATACAGGGCATGACTTGTTTCTTGTGACAGTATGTGGG